GGGGGATTTCCGGGTTTGAATCCCGGGCGGGACAGAAATGGTTGGGCAAGTTTCACCTATCACCTAACACCTGTTCATCGAGCAGTAAATAGGTATATAGGAGTAAGTAAATTTTGTGTGGGGGTTACATTCTGGGGAGGAGGATCATTTATGTCCAGCAACTAGGCTGCTTCTCCCCCGACAAAATGAATGATTAATGATGAATTATACTCTGGGGATATACTCTAGGGATATACTCTAGGGATATACTGTAGAGATAATGCTTTGCTTCTCCCGTTAATGTTAGCATTTAATATGGTAGTGAATGTTAGCTGAAAAGGGACAAGTTTTTGTGAGGTTCTGCTGCTCGCTGCAAAATGTTTCCATTTTATACGTTTAATTAACATTTTTTTATTTAATTTGTACTAAAATTATATTTCGTATTTTGTGAAACATAAAACTTAGCATTTTTATGCTAATAATATATTTGATTTATGCTTTGAATTAATTTTTTCACTATGGCTCTCTGGTGCATATATATACTCTAGTTACAGGGTACACACACTCTCTGGCTCCAGGGTACACACACACACTCTAGCTCCAGGGTACACACACACACTCTAGCTCCAGGGTACACACACACACTCTAGCTCCAGGGTACACACACACACTCTAGCTCCAGGGTACACACACACACTCTCTGGCTCCAGGGTACTCTAGCTCCAGGGTACACACACACACTCTAGCTCCAGGGTACACACACACACTCTAGCTCCACACACACACACTCTAGCTCCAGGGTACACACACACTCTAGCTCCAGGGTACACACACACACTAGCTCCAGGGTACACACACACACTCCAGCAAGGGTACACACACACACACTAGCTCCAGGGTACACACACACACTCTAGCTCCAGGGTACACACACACACACTGGCTCCAGGGTACACACACACACTCTGGATCCACACACACACTCTGACTCCAGGGTACACACACACACACACACACACACTCTGGCTCCAGGGTACACACACACACTCTGGCTCCACACACACACACACACACACACACACACACACACACACACACACACACACACACACACACACACACACACACACACTCTTGCTCCAGGGTGCACACAGCCGCCCCTGTCAATATACCATGGTGGAATATAATGGTGGTGCGACGTGTGTACAGCAGCCCGGGCACCAGAGTCTGGACATAAAGTGGCGGGGTTGGCCACCTGGCCAATATTTCCCGCTTACGGCGGCCTCTGGCCTCTTAAAGTAGGCAGGGCTCCCGCCAGGCGGCTCTGGGGCTCCCGCTCTGATTCCGTGTCTGGGGTTGGAAGCAGGAGTGGCTGTCTTAAGGTGTGTGTGTTGTGTGTGTGTGGTTTGGTGTGCTTGTGTACGTGTTTTGGAGAGGTTATGTGCGTGTGGCTGTGTCTGAGAGATTTTGTGTAATAGTATTTGGCCGTTTGGTTTTATATGTGTTTGTATACATACTGGTGATCATGAATTTATATATGTATGTATGTGGCTCTGTATATACTTTCATTATCTTACACTGCCTGCCTGTATTTCACTGTTTTTTTTACACATGCGTACAGGAGTAGATGCAGTCTTACTCCTGTTTACATGCTGAAAGCTTTTCCTTCCCATACATCATGCCACGCCTTCCCTGGAACACGACCCACTACTCGGGTTTACTCCCAAGTTCCACAGTTACTGCTGGATAAACAAGAGCAATTAATTATAGATTAGTTCCCAGCCAATTCTTCCCGGTTTTTGTCACAGGACGAGTGTGTGTGTGTGCGCGTGTACGTGTGTGTGCGCGTGTACGTGTGTGTGCGCTTGTACGTGTGTGTACGTGCATGCCAAAGATGCAGCCCTAGAAACTGTCTAAACTCTCAGGTACCTACTTACTGCTAAACGAATAGAGCCACAAGATGAAAGGAAACGCTGCCAATTTGTATCTGCTTCCGCCTGGAATCGAACTAGGGATTTACGACTGAGAATCGGAGACGGTCAAGGCTTGAACACAAGGCGGGCAACCCTTGCCCTCCCCCTCCTATAGCTCTCCCCTCTGGAAGCTTAGGGTCTGGAAGAGTGCGTCTCGCTACCCAGCTAACGAGGTCAAGAAGCTAACGAGGTCAAGAAGCCCAGCTAACGAGGTCGTGGTCAGAAGCCTCTCCCGGCTTCTGGTAATTGCACGCACGTTTTTTCCCGTGAAGAGATGTGTTCTCCAATATCTAGTTAAGGAAGGAGTTTATGCCAGAAATTGAAGAACTCGAGGATGGTACTTTCTTCTTGACTCCTTTTCTGCCCTTTCTTGTTATTTTGCCTTTCTCCGTCTATATTACGATATAACAGTACATTATAGTTATTATTAAGACTTTTTGGAGAGTCATACTCACAGCTAACATGAAGGATAGAAGAGAAGACCCCCACTCTTATCCATTAATACTCAGTAGAAATAATATTTTTGTGCTAGAATAACAAAGTGGAAGGGACTTGTTGTGTCGTACAACAAGAGTTAGAGTCTGGGCAACAGTGGTCGTTCTGGAGACACTGTCGACGACCCAGCATCTGGTCGTCCTTGAATTCAACAAGAAGTAGAGATTGAATGATCAGTGTTGATTATTATAGTGACAACCGTGTTAATACACTCAAGTGGTCATACTCAGTTTGTTAACAGGACAAGACCTATCTTTTGTGCTGATCGATATACACCAGGAGGTGCTGCTGTGGAACATTTCTTTGTCATAGAAATCGCTCAACAGACCTAGTAATTACGGGCTATTCATGCCCGTGCCACCTTTAGGGTGGCTTAATCTTTATCAATCAATCAGACCAAGTAGGCGGCGACCCTTAAGGATAACCTTGATGTTGTTGTTGTTGTTGTTTTACATTCAGCTACTCGGAACAAAAAGTTTCAAGTGGAGGCCTGGTCGAGGACCGGGCCGTGGGGACGTTGAGCCCCGAAATCATCGCACGGTAACCGCAAGGTAAGGTAGCACGGGCTATGGTGAGCCCGTAGTGGACCTACCTGGTACAGGAGCGGGGCTGTAACGTGTACAGGAGCGGGGCTGTAACGTGTACAGGAGCGGGGCTGTAACGTGTACAGGAGCGGGGCTGTAACGTGTACAGGAGCGGGGCTGTAACGTGTACAGGAGCGGGGCTGTAACGTGTACAGGAGCGGGGCTGTAACGTGTACAGGAGCGGGGCTGTAGCTTGTACAGGAGCGAGGCTGTAGCTTGTACAGGAGCGGGGCTGTAGCTTGTACAGGAGCGGGGCTGTAACCTTGACGTCTACAGGTTGTTCTTATTTCACTGGTGTAAGGCGAGGTGGACCTGCTCCTCCTAGCGAACTGTAAACTGGAGCGGCCCTCAGGTACCGCCTGGAACTTGCTCAGCTCAGCCTCCTGTGAAGACAGTACGTACACCAACCACGTGCGTCATCCTATATATACTGACGTAGTGGACAATTACAAAAGTACAATTTGGTACTATTGAATTTGAACAAACCGGGAAAAAGGTTTTGTATTATTGTGGCTAATAAAACCCTAACCTAACCATCCTAGCCTAATACATGCTATATGAGGACTAATATAGTATATATATATGCGCTATACTAATCTAGGAATATTTAAGTTTTATTGTTAGCTTTATTCTCACAGTAGGAAGTATTGACCTAGTAACTGGTCACACGTGAATTATTGACCTATCGTATGTTGTATAGCCCATTATATGTGTATTGAACTATTTAGTATGTACTGTGCTTCATGTACTAAGTATTTTGAGATGTATTTTGTTTTGTATACAATGATTTTCCAGCTGGATTATACAGCTGTAGTTGTTGGCGGTGATATTTTTTTATTATGTTATTCACAGGTTAGTTACTGTAGAGTTTTGGTGTAAAGTTATGGTTTGATCACAATTGTGGTTATAACCAGTTAGTTGAAGAATTAAGAGTGGAATGGTCGTTCGTGATCACATCATTTACGGTGCTGGTGTACTCAACATATTAATATTCCACATGTGTGTGTGTGTGTGTGTGTGTGTGTGTGTGTGTGTGTGTGTGTGTGTGTGTGTGTGTGTGTGTGTGTGTGTGTGTGAGTTACCGTTATTATTCACGATGGCATGCACTTAATTATCATTAATATGCCAGTACTATAGATTAGTATAATTAATTTGCCAATTTGACAATGATGTGTTAATAGTGAGGAGTTTGTATGATTGTAATCAACCTGCTTCACGCTGTGTTTATTATTTATTAATTTGATTAATTGATTGTGTTGGGGTAGGCAGCCACTGTGTGTTAGGCTTATGTCGAGGTCGAACTACTGACCTTCCTCAGGATCTACACAACAATTTGAATAACTCCGGGGGTACTTAATTACTGCTAGGTGAACAGGTGCATTAGGTGATAGGAAACGCGCCCAACCATTTGTCTTACCCCGGGATTCAAACCCAGAGTTCTCGATTGTGAGTCGAGAACGAACCCGAGTGTACTGCCAATTATTATTATTGAGAAAATCCGTAGGAGCCGTGATGAGAATTCGAACCTTCATCACGGCTCCTACGTATTTTCTCATCACGTTGATGTGAATAATTTCTGTATTATTATTATTGTTGTTGCTGGCAGAGGGTTAATTTATATATTTATAATATGCAGTATGATTATCGCTCTGTCACTGGGTAGATTTATGGTGTGATCGGTCCATTACTGATGATGATTTGCCTAGTTAAATAGCAGGTATTTGTTTCTGTAATATTATTAGACTGGGTAGAGTGGTGAGTGTGCGGGCGTGACGCTGGCGCAGGGAGAGTGAATATAGTTACCTGAAGCTACAGTATGTGTAACCAGGTCGGCTAGTGTGAAGTTAGGGGTTACCCAGTCGTTGATGGCTGGGGTAGTGAGGGGGGGTGAGCTGGGGTGTTGTGTTGGGGTGTTGGGGTGTGGTCTCTTGCCAGTGTTGTTTGCTCACACGTGTGTTCTTGCTTTCAGGTCAAGCAAATCATGGAGGAAGCAGTCACGCGCAAGTTTGTTCATGAGGAGAGCAGCACCATAACGTCCCTGTGTGGTGAGTGTTCCCGTGGTGTGTGTGTGTGTGTGTGTATGTGTGTGTGTGTGTGTGTGTGTGTGTGAGAGTGTGTGTGTGTGTGTGTGTGTGTGTGTGTGTGTGTGTGTGTGTGTGTGTGTGTGTGTGTGTGTGTGTGTGTGTGTGTGTGTGTGTGTGTGTGTGTGTGTGTGTGTGTGTGTACGCAGTAGCATAAACATGTGAGCAGTGTCGAGCATTAGCTCCTGAGCCCTGCCTTACCAGCTGTTGATTGTATAGTGTAGTGACGCCCGAGCCTCCAGTTTCCTGTCACATCTACCTGTGATGAATCTTTGGGCATTAGATTGAACAATTTCTCTCTCTAGTTCACCGTATTTGATAATTTTTCTTAAAATAAAAATGCTCTTTCTAAAATCCCTGTGACTTATCTGCATCTCAAGTTTCCTTGTTCTACTCTGCCTTGTTATATACTTTATATAACATTTCCTCATTATCAGCTTTGTCCAGTCCCTTAAGAATCTTATATGTCGTTAATATATCTCCTCAAATTCCCCGTCTCTTCAAGTATGGTGAAGTTTAGCTCCCTCAGCCTTTCCTTATAGTTCAATCCCCTCAGGTCTGGTACAAAGCCTCGTTTCATACCTATATTTGTTCTAGTTTGCCTGTATGATTAGGTGTGAGTTCCACGGTGGGTCTGCATGCTCCAGGATGGTAATATGTTGTGTACAAGACTCTGAAAGCATCCTTCAATAGGATCCTAAATGGAAGGATGTATGCATATATATATCTTTTAAATAGGATATATGTTTGGATATATGCTGATGATGTTAGGCTAGCATCAGAGGTTCTTATAATTAGTGTAAGTCATTATAAACTCTCAAGTCTGTCTCTTGCAATTTCAGCGAGGCGTTTCCTTTCATTTCACACCGTTCAGTGGGCTTTATTGCTCCCTCCCAAATGCCCATTAACATGCATTAACCTGAGTTGAAGTCTTGTAGCCATCCAACCACACCTGAGGTTGTGTCTGGGTGTTTTGGGACTATACACGCCTGCAAGTCGAGCCTTCATACACCAAAATACACCAAGTGGAAGAAAATAACAGACTGCATATCGAGAACTTTTCTAACATGATATTTCTGATAACTGATAACAGTGTTTAAGGAACTTATAACTTCTAGAGTGGACTCCTGCGCTATACTAATTAAGTGACTCATTTCTCCATGGGCAACTGATGGCCCTGAAGATTATCTAGTGTCCACTAGACATTATCTAATGTCCACCAGACATTATCTAGTGTCCACTAGACATTATCTAATGTCCACCAGACATTATCTAGTGTCCACCAGACATTATCTAGTGTCCACCAGACATTATCTAGTGTCCACCAGACATTATCTAATGTCCACTAGACATTATCTAATGTCCACCAGACATTATCTAGTGTCCACCAGACATTATCTAGTGTCCACCAGACATTATCTAGTGTCCACCAGCCATTATCTAATGTCCACTAGACATTATCTAATGTCCACCAGACATTATCTAGTGTCCACTAGACATTATCTAGTGTCCACCAGACATTATCTAGTGTCCACCAGACATTATCTAGTGTCCACCAGACATTATATAGTGTCCACCAGACATTATCTAGTGTCCACTAGACATTACCTAATGTCCACCAGACATTATCTAGTGTCCACCAGACATTATCTAGTGTCCACTAGACATTATCTAATGTCCACCAGACATTATCTAGTGTCCACCAGACATTATCTAGTGTCCACCAGACATTATATAGTGTCCACCAGACATTATCTAGTGTCCACCAGACATTATCTAGTGTCCACCAGACATTATCTAGTGTCCACCAGACATTATATAGTGTCCACCAGACATTATATAGTGTCCACCAGACATTATCTAGTGTCCACTAGACATTATCTAATGTCCACCAGACATTATCTAGTGTCCACTAGACATTATCTAATGTCCACCAGACATTATCTAGTGTCCACCAGACATTATCTAGTGTCCACCAGACATTATCTAGTGTCCACTAGACATTATCTAGTGTCCACCAGACAGTATCTAGTGTCCACCAGACATTATCTAGTGTCCACCAGACATTATCTAGTGTCCACCAGACATTATCTAGTGTCCACTAGACATTATCTAGTGTCCACCAGACATTATCTAGTGTCCACTAGACATTATCTAGTGTCCACCAGACATTATCTAGTGTCCACTAGACATTATCTAGTGTCCACCAGACATTATCTAGTGTCCACCAGACATTATCTAGTGTCCACTAGACATTATCTAGTGTCCACCAGACATTATCTAGTGTCCACCAGACATTATCTAGTGTCCACTAGACATTATCTAGTGTCCACCAGACATTATCTAGTGTCCACCAGACATTATATAGTGTCCACCAGACATTATCTAGTGTCCACCAGACATTATCTAGTGTCCACCAGACATTATCTAGTGTCCACCAGACATTATCTAGTGTCCACCAGACATTATCTAGTGTCCACCAGACATTATCTAGTGTCCACCAGACATTATCTAGTGTCCACCAGACATTATCTAGTGTCCACTAGAGTCATACATTAATCAAGAGATGAACTCCCTGTAGTGAAGTAGAACAAAATTATAGTATACATCTTGAACACACCGGAAGCGTGTTCCAAAGCTACACTTTTAAATAATTTCTCGCTAAAAGAGCGGTGTAACGTACAAAATTACCCCAATCAGCAGTAGGGAGCAATTATTACAGCAAGAGCTGGTTCTAATTGATAAGGGCGAAAAAGACTTTATCTGTAAACTCTCTTATTTAAATAGAAAAGAGATGATCAAGAGACTCCTGTCTACAGGTGGGATAGTTGACATGTTCATTCAAGCTCTTCTTAATCAGCAGGGCTATAATGTTAACTTGAACTGCAGGCTGCAAGCACCAACAACCTGGCTGTCGAGGCCGTCACCAGACCGGGTTGCAAGGTTGATGATTGAACGGGGCTTCAAATTAAATAAATTTCAACCAGTGACGAGTTTACCGGCAACTGGCCGATACGTGTCAAAGGAAGTCTCTTAGTTGTGGCACTTTGAGCACTCGCGTTAACTACCGCATCAGGTCGCATTAGGTCCATGTTAGTGTGGCCTCTCGTGTGGCTTGGCACTCCCCCCCCCCCACTCCCACCCCCCCCTCATAGTGCAGGGGAGGGATGGCGCCCCCTCTCGTCCCCTCCCCACCCCCTCACAGTGGAGGGGGGGGGTCGGTTCCCATGGCAACACCCATGAACTATGTGCAGATGAAAGATTGGTGGCAGAGTCCACTGAGTTTCATTATTTGAATCTAGCTGGAACATGTATATTATATCGGAGAAACCTTGGAACACACTAATACTAGAGCAACCTTGGAACATATAAATCTATAGATGTATATATATATATATATATATATATATATATATATATATATATATATATATATATATATATATATATCAAATATAATATAGTCTGTTTATCCACGGCTGTAGGCCAACCACTTTGGGCAGGCATAAATAAAATTTGCTTGGTGATTGGTAGGTTTGGGGAGTTGCAATTGGTGGTTCCGGGTCTGCCCCCCACAGTGTAACCTTCTGGGATTCGACCTGGCCACTGAAGGGTATCCCATCGTGTATTATATATACAGTAATGACTGTCGTAGCATGTAGATCCCTGAAAGATTTGTTTGTTAATATTCGTAATTTGGAAATCTTGTCTTATATCTCTCTCCTTTATATCTTATATTTTATATCTGTCTTGCAGGGAAATGGAGAAACATACTCGCTGTGTGTTGAAGTGAATATGAGCAGCATACTTACCTCAATATGAAGTGACTGAATTACTTAGATTATGCAAACATTTACATGTAGTCTTTCAATAATTGGGTTAACAGTGTGCTCCCATCGTCCCACCAGGTCTTACGCTTGCCATGATAGGTTAATGAAACTACATTTCATAACTAGAGGAGGAAAGAAATTGATGGGATATGATCATAACATTTAAGATACTGAGGGGAACAGCCAAAGTAAACAAAGATAACTTTTTAAATTGAGAAAAAGTAGTACAAGAGGACACAAGTACAGGCTGAAAAAGTGGAATATATAAAGGAATTCTTGTACCTTGTACAGGCGGCCAACACGTGAAGTGTACTGAAAGAAGTTACGAAAGCCACCTCCATCTACAACTGTAATGCCAGACTCAACAATGAACTAGAACGCAGACTAGCTAACTAGTAGTGTAACAAGTACTATAAGGCTAGTAGGCGGTGTGTAAATGGTTACCTCACACTATCCCGTACACACTGTTACACACGCACAGTGCGCCCCAGGGTCCCCACCAGGCCTGACGCATGCGTCTCCACCAGGCCTGACGCATGCGTGGCTCCCGCCTGGGTAAGTGCCGCAGGTGTGGGAAGAGGACAGGTGCGCCGGTAATGAAGTCAGACAGGTGGGTGATGCGGTGCAGTCTTGCAGCTTATTCGTGAGTGACGGCTGGCTGATGGCATATTGCAGTGCACTACAATGCAACAACATGCAATATCATACAATATAATGCCACCTGGGGGGGGGGGCGGGGGTCTTGGGTTTCTTTCTTCCCTTATATCTGTCTGTATCTTCACTTATAGTGCCTCCTTCCCTCGTCCCTCACAGTGCCTCCTTCCCTCGTCCCTCACAGTGCCTCCTTCCCTCGTCCCTCACAGTGCCTCCTTCCCTCGTCCCTCACAGTGCCTCCTTCCCTCGTCCCTCACAGTGCCTCCTTCCCTCGTCCCTCACAGTGCCTCCTTCCCTCGTCCCTCACAGTGCCTCCTTCCCTCGTCCCTCACAGTGCCTCCTTCCCTCGTCCCTCACAGTGCCTCCTTCCCTCGTCCCTCACAGTGCCTCCTTCCCTCGTCCCTCACAGTGCCTCCTTCCCTCGTCCCTCACAGTGCCTCCTTCCCTCGCCCCTCACAGTGCCTCCTTCCTTCGTCCCTC